TTTACACAACAGCCAAGTACCATACATGTAATTTCACATTCTGTGCATGTTTACACAACAGCCAAGTGACATACATGTAATTTCACATTCTATGTGTATGTGTACACAACAGCCAAGTACCATACATGTAATTTCACAGTCTATGTGTATGTTTACACAACAGCCAAGTACCATACATGTAATTTCACATTCTGTGCATGTTTACACAACAGCCAAGTGACATACATGTAATTTCACATTCTATGTGTATGTGTACACAACAGCCAAGTACCATACATGTAATTTCACAGTCTATGTGTATGTTTACACAACAGCCAAGTACCATACATGTAATTTCACATTCTGTGCATGTTTACACAACAGCCAAGTACCATACATGTAATTTCACATTCTATATGTACGTTTACACAACAGCCAAGTACCATACATGTAATTTCACATTCTATGTGTACGTTTACACAACAGCCAAGTACCATACATGTAATTTCACATTCTGTGCATGTTTACACAACAGCCAAGTACCATACATGTAATTTCATATTCTATGTGTACGTTTACACAACAGCCAAGTACCATACATGTAATTTTATATTCTATGTGTACGTTTACATAACAGCCAAGTACCATACATGTAATTTCACATTCTATGTGTACGTTTACACAACAGCCAAGTACCATACATGTAATTTCACATTCTATCTGTATGTTTACACAACATCTGTCATACATGTTCAAATGTAACTGTTGAAATAATTTATTGATAAAGTCTCACTTTTTGAGAAAATATGCTATTTAAAAACACACTTCAATTATGCTACAACACTGTAATTGCAAACATTTAAATTCTATTTAAAATTAAAGCTATTTTGAGAAGTTTGTCTACACGGATTTTTTTTTAATTGAAAATCTGAGAAGGATCATTCAAGAACAAATTTATCATGATATATTTTCATTGATTGGTTTCTCCAGAAAAAACATTCTCTCAAAATTTCAAAATAATACCTCCTCCACTTTACAGAGTATTTCCTAAGAAGCACAGAACTCTCTGAAAAGTCTCTCTTTGGGTTAAAGGCTGCATCCAAGATTTTCCATGACAGTCCCCATTCAGTCCTGTGTGCAAAACGGTCTTTACAGTTGGTGTGTCTGTATGTGTGTATGAATGTAAGTATGCATGCACGTACGTACGTGTGTAGGGTTCCTTCGATATCTAAAGAACCACATATTGGATTTCAATGAAACTTAGTACATAGATGATCTGGGTTAATGCGCTGATTTTTTTAGTTGTAATCCATGCATATTAATTACCCAATTTTCACTCTTATCTAAAAAAAAACATTTTTGGATTTTGATGAAACTTGGACAATGCACAGTCCTGATTAGTTTTGGGTAATATTAATTACCTAATTTGCATAATGATTAGTCAGTTTTTGATAATTCAAGTACTAATCATTATGCAAATTAGGTAGATGATGAATTGTTTGAGTTACGAAAATGACCACGCCCAAATTTTAGAAACCACGCCCACTTTTGCTAATCACATCTAAATTGTAAGTCTATGTTTAATTAATAGTTAACCAAACTTGAAGTTAAAAATTATTGACTGGGAAGTATAAGTATGTAAAATATGATTAACTTAAGATTGCAACTTTCGTTTTTTATAGTTCAGTTTGCAACATGTATGGGAATTCGCTGCTATGGATACCATTTCCATTTTATTATGGTGTTTGGAGGAATAAGATACAAGGATTAACAGGAAATGTCAAGTTTTATTTTCTACTGTTTAATTTTATAACTGTTCCACTATGCAATAAGTTTATATTTTGTCACATCTATACTTCATGCATACACTATGTGCATTAAGATACGTATGCACGTGCATTCGTTTCATGGTCCAATTCAAGAGAGGTAAAATGGCACGGTTTGATGCCGATATCACATACTTGTCAACACAAATCAAAAACTGAACAAAGATCAGTGATTACTTGAAATCGATACTAGGAGGGGGGAGGTAAAAGAAAAGTTATATAACATTTTATTATTTAATAATTTATTAAAATACACAAGTTTGTCCAACTCCCTGTGCTCGAACTCGTCTTTTCGGCGTTAAGTGATCACGGAAAATTAGGTTCTATGCATCTAGAAGTCGTATGTAAAATTACACACATAAACCAATTATGTTAAACAACTGTTGTTATAGTTTCTGCTCACAGAACAAAACAGTAGCATAAAGTGATTTTGTCACAATTAATTACCAATACTTGTATTGGTAATTTTAAATTGTTATAATATTCCTCTGTAGTATTATCAAATTTCAATTGAAACTTAACTCAATTGCTGTAAACTATTTCCAGATTTTCATAACTGACGTATTCATATACATGTATGTTTGAATACGTGTATAATGATGGTGAATAAATCACCGATCTATGTATCTATGGTAATTGGAACAGTAGACGTGATGACAACGAGAGAAAGGGAACACTATTTGCGAGGCAATAATTATCTCGCTCTTGAGATATCGGTGGTCTATTACCCATTATGCCAAAATGCATGTACAATGAATGAACTATTGTGATGTACCTAGCTGTGCCAGTAGTAGTGGTGCATGGCACTGAATTTGGCGAGTTATTTCTAATTTTGAAATCGTGTAATAATGTCAGTTATCCAGATAACCTGACAATCGCGTGACTTCGAAACTACTATTTCATACAAATTTACCCTACTCACTTAGACAGAAATGTCGAACATTGCTCGTTCCGATATCATATTTTGTAAAGAGCCACACATGACACTGCCATGATTTTTACCTGTTCTCTCTTTCTATGATCAAGAGTATCATTGCCAGCCGTAGTTATGTGGTTCTTAAAGCTATTGTGTACAAATTTTAACAACGTATAAAATATTAAGCAAATATAGATTATAATGATTGTTAAATACAAATATTATGAAACGGTCTTTTTAACAATGCTGGATTTGAATCAATGTGTGCGTTGTTTTGTTGTTTTTAACATCTGCTAATCTTCAATCTTCAAAATTGGGGGGGGGGGTGACAACTAGATTCCCGTTTAGGGTTTTAACTGCCGAACACGTCGATAAACGTTAGCCTTCTCTCTATTTTGTCCATATCCAATTAATTGGTTACATGATCATATCTATGGAGTGTTTTTCCCCAAATCGTATATTTGAATGGCTAGATTGCCACTTGTGACAGGCACTGTATTCGCTAACGTGTACTCATGGGGAAAAAACACAGAACAGGGAGTATGATAGAACGCTAGTCAACCAACTCCTATATACGGCATATTAATGACTTCGACAGATAATCACTGTAAAAAGAGTATGGAAACAGTTTATTCAACTCAACAAAATATAAAAAATACAAAAATTTCAAATATTTAAACTATTTATATTGGACCGAATGCGTGGTACATGAAGTTGTTGTTTGCGCTATTATTGTGAGTTGCTGGTACATGCATACAATAGTGAATGAAGTATTAAAAGAACATGTATACTACTACCGGTACACTACAAATTGCTTGCTTTATAAATATATGAATTACCAAGATATAGAAAATAAGACTAAACAGTACATTACACATCAGTTGGTTAGGTATAGTTGTGTGTTTCCGAGTAGTACTTAGTTGCATCATCAAGTATCATGGAAGATGTATTTTGAAAGATTTTGCTTTTATTATTGTGTGGGTCTATATATGTCTAACCTGCTTGTTTTTATTCTCAAAATGTATAACTATCTGCGTTTGTATCGTGTCTCGCAACGGAAGGTCCACGCTGACTTCGCTTTGGCAGTATAAATATTATATCGATTTAAAACACGTTGCTAGGTAACACTGCAACACACATCTATACTTGTGACTCGTCTACCACGTGACTCAGCGCATCTGGATGAATATTGGTGAATATTTTCTGGAAAAAAAAATGTCATGAATTGAATTCTGTATTTACATTTGACGTTCACTTATGGTTAGGATGAAAGCACAGTGTAAGTATGGTAGTTGCAATAATTATAAATTCTTGAAAGGTAAATCGTTAAAAATGTCAAAACAATACAGCTTTTCTAAAAACTGTGCCCTCTAGCGATGAGGCGCTTCTGTGTAAGTGGGTAAAAGAAAGACCATTCACATCATAAATATTGTTTTGATCTGTAGTTGTCGGTCGATAACAAAAAAGTGAGAGAATAACCATGTTCTAGATGAACGACTACACAACCAAACGTAATTGCGGGTTTAAACGTTCATTCAAAATATAATTACATCATTTCGATGCCACAGAAATGTTGACATCAGAGGAAGTGGCTGATTGGAAATGATGTATGATGGGAAAATGAATTTTCAATAACAAAAATATATGAATAAATTATTATATACCTCATTTTCACTCAAAAACTCTTCAAGTTCTTCCAGCAATGTGCTTGGTGAGGGTCGAGATTCGATATGTTTAAGCCAACATTTGTACATAAGAATATATCTACATTGATAGTACAACAATATAAAATATAAATATTATAATTAAAATGTTTAGTAATATTTAAATATAATAATTTTTAATTACTTTTTTAGACGAAGGTGTTATAATACACTTACGCTTTGTTTGTACAGTTATTTGGTTTATGGAGTCTTGTGCCATCGTCCAACATTTTACTGAATACAAACACTGGAAGAGTTTGGAACGGAGTTTCTCCTGTATTTAAAAACAAAAACACGTTGATAGATTTCCGTTGATATATTCGTTTCTGTGTAGATTTGGACAGGGTGGATAATTCATTTTATGTTTCTTAGCATTTTGAAATAATTCTGTTTAATATGGTAGGAATAGTAGAATATGATTTAATGTAAATAAAAACGTTGTGTTGGCCATGAAACGTAGCATCATTCATTCCACAGAATGCGCCCAGATTTATTACAAGTTGTCCACATTGCTTTTATAAAGAGATTTGCTCAGAATTGAAAATTTCCTTCTCACCATACTTTCATTATTTCAGATTATTGCCATCAGGATACCGAAAATTAAAATTAAAATTAAAAAAAACGAGGTCACCTGACAATTTATTCGAGTCGCGAAACAGTCCGAAATGTCATATGAAATGGTGCAGTAACCTTCTCAGTAATACAAAGTTTGAATTCAGCTCCAAGTGACTTAAATGTTAACCATTGTAAGTCGCATTTATGAATGTAATGATACATTTAACACTGATGAAATCCATGACTTACCCAAGGAAGCTATTTCCCACATGACAACACCAAATGACCACCTGAAATACAGAGAAGAAGATGACCGGTGATGTAATATACACTACCATGGTTACAATACAGATAACAATATTACGTCATCAATAAATAAACTTACACATCACTTTTGGGTTCGAATATTCCTCTATTCAATAATTCAGGTGGCATCCATCTCAATGGCAAGGGACCTTGACCTTCAGCCTGAAAGAAATCAAATACTTGTGTATAGCATTGTTAGCACGATTTCACGCGAAACTCTAGTTTCCCAGGGGTGTCACCTGCGCATGCGTGGGAATCGAGTCTCAGGCAATAACAACGCATGCTAAAATCGCAAAGGTTCATTTGGACATTTTACAGCCGCGAGTTACTTTTTAGTTACTTTTCTTGTGATGTTCGTTCGGGAAATTTTCTATTTCTTGCACTCACAAGTGCGCACAAGATAAATGACCAGTCAAAGATATCTTTTGTCAATACAATGAAAACTCTAGAACTGGTGCACGTTGAAATATAAGCGACCTATTTGTTTCAAATGACGTCAAGAGTGACAAGTAACGCCGTCTGTCGTCTGCACACGTTGTCCTCATGTGATCTGTTTGTCCCAAACACAGCTATAGCTATAATAATAACGACTTACCCCTTGCAGAAGGGAGTATTCTCCACTCTCGTATACGTCACGACTCAGACCAAAGTCACCAATTTTTGCTATGTAATCCTCTGTTAGAAGGATGTTACGACATGCGAGATCACGGTGTACGATCTGAAATGAGAATTTAGACTTTCGTTTGAATTCACCGGGAGAGGGGGCACTATATGAAACAACAAGCAACATTATATTAGTTACTAAACAAAAAAACAGATAGACGTTTTCATTTCATTTTCATTGAAGTATTGTTTATACAGTCTCGAGCTGCAATAGAATTTCATCCAAATGACCACCGATATCTCGCTGAGAGCGAGAAAACAAAAGAACTTTTTGCCTCCCAATAAGTCTTCAATTCTTTCCCATCACCGCTTCCACTGTTCCGAATCATTGGTTACATTGATAAGTGTAATAATAAACCAACCCAATTCGTGACATGGTACAAATTAGGTAAATCATTGTCACTTGATGGTTGCGGCACATGTACCACTTCGTGCGAAGTGGTTCATTTGCCATAAACAACAGTGTCCATGATTTAACTACGTATTTTACCCTCAATGTTTCCATGTACTCTAATGCGGAGGCAACGTTCATAGCGATCTTCACAAGTCTTGTTTCTATGGCGACTGTAATCACGCTGTTTCTCAGAGTATGCAGATAACACTTCAAATCACCATGCTTGGCGTATTCGATGACGATATACTTCGGATCTATGTGTACATGACAATGATATTATTAAACGTATCTAAAACAATGCATAGAAACATGGACAATGTTTAAAGGGCGGTGGACGTCGTGCCGCGCATGTGCGACATTTGTATTGATAAACATTGATTTTCCCACAATCCAATGCAATGATCTAATGAAAATCACTAGTACAAGTTTTTTATCTCGGCGCAACATGCACTAGTTACTGTTGTTAACTCCTTCGATACCTTCCAATCACTAAAGAAATTACATAGTTAAAGTTTAGTAACATCTCAATTTGTACTCGTTCGTCTGCGAACAGTCAAAGTTGCCATCTTTGTTCCTATGTGTTGAATATCCACGACCACCGCCCTTAATGTCACCATGTATGATATGTTCAATGGCAATATACTTTGAATCTAACTATTCATGAAAAGGAATTAGTAAAAATGCAATGTGGATAACTTATTTGAGTATGTTTGAGCATGAATAAATAATTAAGTTTGTCATTTTTTCTTTCATATAAACAAAATAATGATTTATCGTAAAATAAAAATGTTGAGAATAAAAACAAAGAAATAGTGTAAAACTTGAAGCGGGAGGGTGGTCACCTGCACACATGCGGGAATTGAGTCCCAAGCGACGATAACAACACATGCTAAAAATGCAAAGGCTCATGGGTAGACACTTGTTGTAAACAGTGACACGCTATGGCCATCTTACGCATACGCAGGTGACGACTTCCCCGTTTCAAGTAACCTGTATACATAAGTAATACAAACTCTGGTTTTCATTGTCTATTGAAGGAATACTTCTATGTTTGTATCCAAAACTTACTCTTTTTTTACGCAGCAAATTTCACTTTCAAATATGAAGTTTTCGATAAAATTGTAATTTGGACTTAGCTCGGTTTCTATCGAAAGATACAAAAATAAACCTACCTCCTCTAGTTACAAAACCATACAGTTTAATGATGTTGTTGTGTTCTTGTAAGGTTATCAAGCGTTCTGCTTCATTGCAAAAATCGCGGTAACAGGCTGTCCTACAGTTACCTTTAGAGATAATGATGTAATTGTATTTATATAACACAAGCAGGAAGTCTTCATTTAGATAGACGTAATTATTAATTTCTAATCGGTAATCGGATTTACGCATCTGTTTTGATTCCCCTTTAATGGTATGTACTACATACTTTAGTGTACTAGATATATTGTCTATATCACAGTATTCGATGTACCATCATACCTGGAATCACCGACTTCACAGCTACCTGTATGGAGACTGATTCTATCTGCAGAGAAGCACATTCAACTTTTCCGAATTCACCGGATCCAATAATGGGTCCTGCAACATTCAGCTGCGAGTGACTAAGCATCCAGTTGTTCAAGTCAATATTTGGAAAATTCCAGTTTTTAACAAAATCCTACATAGAGATAAATTCAACAATAGTTTGTTATCAATTTTTTGGATTTTTTGTAAAAACAATCATTTTTTGTATTCCGCAATATGTGTTTGTTCCACTTAAAAAAGTTTGTACTCCCCTCCAAAAAAAAACATCATTTTATTCAGATTTTGATAACTTTTGAGTTGTTTCAACCAATCTGTCTCAAATATGATTCTTTAATTTAAAGTTAATCATTCCGGGAATTACATGAACATATATAAAACAAATTTACGGTGTTTTAAATACAGTCATATTAATCAGAATCAAAAGCCGAGAAAATAGCTGATTTTCTGGCTTCCCTCATAGTCTAAAATATCTTGATAACGATGATAATTATATATATATCACATATAACAAAGCGAAAAAAACAACAACAAAAAACATTTTTTTTGACTTCAAATTGGTAATAGAGTTTAGGAGCTGCAACAGAGAAAGCTCTTGCGCAATAGTATTTAGTTCTTGAACAGAGTGTCCCGTTTAGAAAGTAAAAGTTGAACACAAGATGTGTATGCCGCAATGAGATGATTACGCTTACTACATGCAACCACTGAGCCTGAAGGCAGAATTCTGGAAACGTTGTAGTGGGTCAGGTTGGAATGATCTCTCACTTCTTATAAAATACTTTGCTATGGAAAATATTATCCAGGTAACAATAAACCTAACGCAATGAGCGTATAGTCTATATAGTGACACATTTACAGAAATCAAGCAGTGAGATAAAATCTAACTCGTAATCAAGAATGAAGGAATGTTTTGAATACTGTATATTGAATGTTAGACTGTGAGTTTGGGCAGATGATGTAAGATGCTTAGCTTAAAGCGAGGGAGTCGTCACCAGCGCATGCGTCAGATTGCCATAGCGTGTCATTGTTTACAAACAAGCATCTACCCATGAGCCATTGCGTTGTTAGCGTGTGTTGTTATTATCGGTTGGGACTCAATTCCAGTGCATGCGCAGGTGACGACCCTCCCGCTTTAAACGTGCAGGTTTTTCGAATAATTTGAATATAAATAACAACATGCATATAATGAGTCAAAAATGACAATACATATACACCCATGTACTTGATTACTTGACATTATATCGGTATATTCAGTGTAATGATTACAGTTAATTAAATGGAACAGAATTCTACCTTAATAATCATGTTGAATTCAGCGGAACCAAAATGTCGATATCGCCAAGATCTTTCACGTCGTTGTATTAAGTAAAACAACAGTATCAACACCAGAAATACAGGAATAAGTAGAAACAAGTAATATGAAGTACTAATTATGTGAGCAGCTGGTGTTGGCTCGACTGAATGTGCTGAAACGAAACACACATAATAGATTGTGATATATTCTTGACTTCTAACTTATTAGCTTATTACACACACAAAACTGCCAAGCTCGCTGCTTGCATAAAAACACACAACCTAATTATATATATAAAATAACTAATTAGCTCACTGCACACACAACATAAATCATTAGCTCACTTCATATACAACATAAATCATTACCTCACTACATACACAACATAACTCATTAGCTCACTGCACACACAACATAAATCATTAGCTCACTTCATATACAACATAAATCATTACCTCACTACACACACAACATAACTCATTAGCTCACTGCACACACAACATCAATCATTAGCTCACTGCACACACAACATAAATAATTAGCTCACTACATACACAACATAAATCATTACCTCACTACATACACACATAAATCATTAGCTCACTACATACACAACATAAATCATTAGCTCACTACATACACACATAACTCATTAGCT